GCGGCCCAACAAAGTACTGATGGGGTGGTCATAATAATCTTGCCACTCAGTGTATATAACCCACTCACCCCTAGCATACAGCATATGTATGGCAGTGGACAGGAATCTTGTACATCCTTATTTCTAAGCCAGCACAACACAAACACCAAATCCTCCATCTTCCTGCACATACTGTATGCCTCACACTCGTTGACTAGGAACGCTGAGCTAAAGAAGGAAAGAGCTCCGCTTTGGTTACTAGGGGCTAAAACAGCATTTCTACCAGTGGCCGTGTCTTATCTTTATCCCGATATAATATCAGAATCACTCGGCAGGAACTGCGTATTTAGCAATTTGAATGCTACTCTGTTTCAGTAGTCAGATGTTTCAGGAGCAAATTACTCTCCTGCTTGATTATTTGAGCTAGGCTATTGGTAAGGCAGAGTTAATTATTTATTGGTGGTTCCATCTGCTTATGCATGTGTATGTGACTGTTTCTTCCTTGCACAAGGGTGTTCATTAGGGATGGAAAACCCCCCCAATCTGTAACAATTGTCCATTGGTCGATATGTGTAGTTGAGCTGGTTTTGTTAAATGATCAAGTCATGATCTAGGTGGTCAGTTTACAGTCATTTCTCTGTAACATTTTATATAATTTTCCATCCAGTACCCGATAGACCTATCATAAAGCAAATGCCAACAATGGAGAATAACACAATAAGATGGGAACTGTCCGACATTCGGGGGAAAGTCACTGGTTTCCAGGTAAGGTAAAATTATGTTCTGTGTATTCCTTTTACATAGACCTACAATCAAAGCTATGACCAAAAAAAAGTAAAGCGGAGGGCAAATGACTAGTTATTTGCTTGTAGGCTCCATGCAGTTGATCTTATTCCTAGGAATAACTTCCTACACCTTGTTCCACACGGTCTCTCGGCCTGTGGAGGTGGACATCATGGTAGAGGAGCAGAACTTTGCTTCCTGATGTCTAACCTGCCCCCTGGATGACTGATGATCTGATGACTGGTGAGTTAATGGTCTAAAAGGCAGCAGCAGAGGTGGAGAACACATCGGTCCACAGAATGAATCAAGGAGATCCTTCCACTACAAGTCTTTAGTTATAGCTAATTCTCTAGCAGGCCCTCAGAAGAACAATGAGCAGCACAGAAGTGAACTGGAATGAACAGAAAATCACTGCAATGATGCAGGCAGGACCCCAGTTGGGGAACATCCTCCTAGATGATCGAGCCCCTTAGATGAAAGGAATATGAGTGACAAGGATCCCTGAATAAGGGGTATCGTCCTATTGCGTCTCACATAAGGCTTGGCTGCATATATTGTCCGCTTGTGTCGCTCCTGTCGCCGGTGCACACAAGGCCACAACACAGGCAGGAGTGAGACAAGTGGCACTAGTGCCCATAGATGGCGATGAGGAGTATACAGAATTCCTATACTCGTCAGTGCCATCTAAAGGCTCTAGTGCAGAACTTTTATAAATGAACCCTTTAGTGAACTCTCAATATTTGTTAGCAATTTCTTCATTCTCTTTCTTCCTTAGTATTTTTTAATTTTCTTTAGATTATTTTTTCTTTTCTTTTTTTTCCCTTCAAAATGTTATTATTTTAACTACATAAAAAAACATAATTTACATAAATTTTATACATTAGCTTTAATGACCCTAGAAGGAAGATGACCCAATCTCCCCCTCGGGCCATTTGTATCTAAATATTACCAACATAGTATCACAAAGACAACATAAAAAGGTAAGGGAAGGAAGACACCAAGATTTAATATATATTAGATAATCTAGATTTAACATTAATATCAGGGTCCCATATCTCTTTTGGTTGGCATGCAATATTCAAAAACGTACTGCCCCTACAGAAGGGTCACACTTTCTACCGAGAGTAATGGATGGGCATAGGCGATCCAGGGTTGCCACGTCCTCTCAAATTTCCCATGAGTGTCCAACAAGATGCTGGTTAATTTTTCATTTAGAAAAAAAGAATCCATTCTATCTTTAACCTCCCTAAAAGGCGCAAATGTTTTTTTTCCAGGCACAGGCAATTGTCTGTCTGGCCGCCAGCATTACATAGGTCATGAGCTTATGCTGGGAATTTGTTATAAGGGGCGATTTAAGATGTAATAATGCTTTTCTTTTTTTATTATTATCATTAGTATGTAGACTTTTTAAATTTGCCCTCATTTGTGTTTGTAGAACCAAATGCTTTTTTTGGTCCTGGTTGGTGCTATATGAACCTGATGAGCAATTTATATGATCCTCCCAACTCTTCAACAGGTTCACAGAACCATATACTGGTCACCATATTCAAGCTCCAGTTCCAGACTGCAGTCAGTTCAAGAAGGGTGGCCATGTAGATAGTTTTGCCCGTCACCGTTGCCCTGGATTTGGTGTCTCACAAGTCCTTTCATAATGTTGCAAATACAGCCCTCTCTATGTAGCTAATCAATTTCAACGTAATCATTTAGCAGACTGTATAACATGAAATCCATTAGAGGAAGAATGTGCAAATGCGGACATGAAATAATACAAAATATTAAAAGCGTGCCAATATTAAAAATAATGAAAGAATGCTCTGAGTTAACATTACAATAAAGGCTCCCAATGTATCTTTCCTTATTTATCTCTGACCAGTTGCTCATAAAATCTATACAATGAAATTTTTGTTGCAGATGAACATCTCTGCCTGGAGGGATTACAATGCGTCTTTCATCATGGATGAGTCCGTGTGGTTCCACCCTAACATGACTGAATATAAAATCTCCCTCCAGCATGGAACCAACTACAGTGTCACCCTCCGAGGATTCACATCGGCCGGAGCCGGGAATGTTATAACCCTAAATAACGAAACCGAAATTGGAGGTGAGTTCTATGCGGGAATTTGGTAATTCCAACAGCTGTTATTATATTCAAAATCATTTTTATTATTTGCCTTACACAGTCACCAGTACAACCTCTTTATTGGATCACATTTTGAGGATAATGGCCAACGCATTGTATATCTAGCCAAACCTTTTTTTGGCTATAGATACACTGGAAATGAAAAGATCAGTTGTGAACGGACTGGTCAGTACGCACATTCAATTAATAAATTACAAAGTTAGTTTCCTTACCAAAAAAGCCAGACAATATCATAAGTTGTCGGAGTAAAGCTGGCCATACACCTATATTATTATCTAGACTTTCTATGGTCAGATGGAAAAAGTGCAACAGATTCCTCCATCTATGCTAAACTGTGTGGATGGGGGAATCTCACACAGGGTGTCAGAGAAGTCCAGCAAGCAGTCATAGAACTGGTACTGTGAGAGCCATTGCACATGTGCGTGTGAGACAGTTTCATGCTGGTAATGCTCGTAATTGTGCTCATGCGCGCAGATGCGATGCACGCGTTTAAGCACAACGGCGCTCACGTTTACTCATGGCGCCAAAAGGCCTATTTAAACTAGCATCTTGCATGCACTCAGCTAGTTCTTCAGCTAGTACTCTGCTTCCTGTGTCTCTGTTCCTGATTCTGTTGTTCCTGATATTGATCCGGCTTGTTCTTGGTCTCTGTTGATTGCTGCCTGCCCCTGACCTTGACTTGATCTGGAACTTCCTTCCGTTTGCTGATTACACGCTGCCTTGCCTGCACTTTACCGAGCCGGCCTGCTCCTGACCCTGCCTCTGTTTGCTGATTTGTACCTCGCTGCCCGGCTGATCGTGACCCGGCTTGTTTCTTACTTCGGCTCTGTTCTGCACCGGTGCCAGCTTCACCCATTGCAATGCTGGCATCATATTCCAGGAAGTGACTGCCATCATCGTTCTTCAGACTGGTCCGCCAGCATCTCCAGCTCTGGGTGTATCCACTTCATCAGGCACTCGTGCCTTTCTTCCGACCCTACACCCTACACTCTGTCCATCATTACCAGGGGTGTTTGGACAAGAGAAGCAAGGAAGGCCGCCCTTGTTATTTCAGGCTCTCACCAGGCACGTGACACTGGGCCAAGCTTCAGTATTTTGCTAGTCGGGCAAGATACTGAAGCCTGGTCCAGTGGAAGATTCTTCCATCCACACAGTTTAGCGTAGATGGAGGAATCTGTTGCACTTTTTCCATCTGACCATAGAAAGTCTGAAGATAATCTATAGGTGTATGGCCAGCTTTAGAGGGGCTGAAATTCTTGTTTGAGTTCGCTATATGGGACTGTTAAACCTGCTGAAGTGTTGGGAGATGGGAGGATCATAGCAGCTGTCAATTAGATTGTCAATTATTGGACAAATCATGCAACTAGTCATGCAAGTGGTATAGTTGCATGGCTTGTCCGTTAATTGAGAACCTGATTAACAATTGATATGATCCTCCCATCTCCTCAACAGGTTTCACAGTACCATATACTGACCTCAGACATGACAAGAAGAACCCTTCTGTTTGAACAGAAGGATAAAGAAATGTGAAGGCCATTGGATTGTTAGGTTGACTTCAAGAAGAAGATGTGTGACCAAATATTATTGATGAAGGACTTTGACCTTCTCTTCTAATTCAGCTCCACTATGGAGAACAGGGAGTTGATGTAGGGAATGGAGGAACCAGGCAGTTGAACAAACCGCATTTATGTTTTTTATATCAGCCTGAAAAACTACCTGTTAATATTTATAGATCTGCCAATCTTCATTTCTGCCATGCATTAGAAAGATTTTTGTAACAAGTTGGCAGAGCATCTCTGCTGCTCTTGTCTAGGGGATAATGAATAAAGCGAGTCACTTATCTTATCCCAAGGGCCCACATTGTAGGCGAGGAAGCAGAGGGCCTGTCCACATCCCGGTAGTATTGTACAGGGGAAAAAATGTGCCATCTGCCCCAGAGCTAGGAGTAAGGCAAGTAATTCCCCCAATCCTCTAGACAAAATGAGCATTTAACTAATGTATTGCTGTGGAATGGGAGTGGGGGGAGGGTCAATGCATATTTAAACTCAGCTTTAATTTAGTTCCTAAATTCTTTTTTCAGAGCCTCCTTGTCATGTGGAGAAGACAATAAATAATTCCATTTTACAATTGTTCCCGGTTGATGACCTGTATGGGCCAATCAGGTGAGGAATTACTAATGATTCCTTTATGACTTATGCCTGCCTTAAAGGTGTTTTTTTGGATTTAAAACCATGTTCTGCGACATAAACATGCATTCACTATATAGCTAAAAGTAGACTGTGGACACCTGACCATCACACCTTATTGGACATCCCATTCCAAAACCATGGCCAAAAATATGGAGCTGCTCTTCTTTGCAGTTATAACAGCCTCCACACCTCTTGGAAGACTTTCCCCGAGATTTTGGAGCGTGTCTGCGGGGAATTCGTACCCATTCAGCCAAAAGAGCATTTGAGAGGTTATGAACTGATGTTGGACGAGACAAACTGCTATAGTGTATCAATTCACAGCACACTATTTCAGTAGGGTACAGACCAGGGCTCTCAAAGTCCTCCACAACAAACTCATCACACCATGTCTTTATGGAGCTGGCTTTCTGCACAGGGGAACAGTCATGATGGAACAGAAAAGGGCCTTAAAATAGAACTATGGGGTAAGTGTTTTTCCCCATAGTTCTCTTAAGGGTCACGAGAGGACATATACTAACCTCCTCCCGTGACCCAAAGCTCAGTATTTCGCAAGCTACAGCTCGCGGTTTACTGAGACTGCCGCAGCCGGGACGGATCACGACAATGCTGCTGCAATCCAACCAGCTGCGTGAGTGACAGCTGGCTCTGCCTATCTAGAGACAGAGCCAGCTGTGCCCGCCCCATCCCCATCCTTTCCTCCAGTCAGCGCTGGAGGATCGGGGAGGGGGGGGGATCCCTGCGGGGAGCAGGGACATACATAATTGTATGCGCTCGCTCACTTCCCAATCTATTGAGTTGACGTGTGACAGTTTCATTGCCACACGTCGGCTCGAACTATGAGGATGAGTGACTTTCACTCACCTCATAGTTCTCCTTTAACCAAACTGTTAGACAAGACTAGACGAGCAGAATTGTATACTCTAGCATTAACAGTACCCTTACATGGCTATGTGCTTAATTTTATGTACAGGGTAATAGTGGATGTGGCTAAAACACTCAATAGTAGGTTAGGGTGTCCATATACATTTTGCCATATAGAGTATAGTATTTTCTGCATAATATCTAGGGTTGCACAGATACTTTTCGAGTACCAGTGCAGATACTTGACATTTTCATGAGAACTACCAGGGTTGCAGCTGGGACCGTGCTCTGGCCCTCCATCACTGTCCTGAAATCATTAGTCGATATTGTTTTAGAAAAACTGTCACATGACAATAAACAAAAATGTATCAGTACTCGTACTTGTAAGTACTCGGCAAGTATCAGTACTCGTACTCGCAAAACTGGTATCTGTGCATCCCTTATATATATTTATAAAAACAAAATCGTACATTAAAACAGAGATGTACAAACCCCAGGAGCTCCGTGTGCTCCTTACAAATGACAGCTGCCCCAAATATTTTGAATTTTTCTCTAGCCTAGTCTTGGAGCTCAAAAGTATCGGTACATGTACTCGTACTTGTACCGAGTACTGTACTTGGTATCTGTGCAACCCTAATAATATCTATATCTATTGCCATGCAATTTTCTGACAGCACCGTGTGACACGATATTAAAGGTCTTATGTGTGATCTGACATTCCCCAAACCTTGGTAAACCTTACAATAGAATGAGCATCTTTGCCCCATGCTAGAGTTCAATCAAAACCCATCCAGCCCTCTTTTTCCCACCATGCAATGAGGGTGTCTCTCTATTGGCCTTATTTTCAAGTGTTTATAGATGATTAGATCCATATTTGTATAAATGAGCTTAGTAGGTAAAGTAGTAGACACTTATTATGCATATTATTTCAAAGCTTGAATTAATAATCTCTTTCCCATCTCCAGCTCTTATGAAATAATTGTCTTTGGTGGTCAGGAACGCAATTTGAGCACAGACTGTAGGAGTTTCAGAAAAATCCACTACAACTCCAGCAGGACTTCAAGTTACTATACTGCGGCTGTTCTTTCAGCACAGGACCTAACCAGTTCCAGGACCTTCATTCCGGGGGATAATCAGCATTATAATGGATTTTACAACGCCCCTCTTATCCCCAAACATACCTATACCATCTACATACGGGTCAACAGCCAATGGAAACAGGTGTGTTTGTACTCAAAACTTTCTGGTGTATGAGACTAGGCCAGTAGAGAGAGTTGTCATGGACATTTTTGGCTGATCACTTTTGCTGAGGCCCAACTCTGAGCATTCTTAAAAATGCCTCCAAGTATTTCACAAGCTGCAGACTTGACTACAGTCCGATGGTACCGCTACTTCTCCACAAGGTGTCCTCAGTCAAAATTACACTGTTAGTGTAGCAAATCATGGATCCCTCACCACAAAACCCTTTATTAAAAAACAAAATGGCCATAGAGGTTTTGGTGAGGAGGAGCTAAAGGAAGACCCCCAACTCCTGGACGAGTTCCTGGGAGACCATAACATTCGGGGGTACAGGTATTGCTAAGAGAAAAATCACACATGGACTCATATACACGCACACACCAGCTCATAAATGCATACACACAATAGGTTGGACTTGATGGACTAATGTCTTTTTTCGACCTCAAATACTATGTAACTATGTAACTATGTAACTGAATCAGTGCGTAGCACAGCAAAGTGTTCTTGGAACAGAACGTCTTCATATGTCTCATAGTCTAATATTATAGAGTAATTTATTCCAAGCTGAGTACAACTGTTTCCGGCTTTTTGCCATCATCAGTGTAGTGTATGGAAACCATGGCTTCTATGGAATAGGACTTGGGACCCAATGAGATAATATACCCATACATTGGACCAGCACCTGGGATTTCACAGTATAGCCTGGGATGAGCCATTTACCTTGAAGATACACATATCTTCTTAAAGATTGTAGATTGAACACATATAGTAAAAAAAATATATAGTACACATTAAAAAAAAATGACCCAAAACCATTATAGGAAATATCATGCCCTTTAGCATTGTGGGGTGCTTTGAGAGTGTGAGGGTGGGCTATCCCAAAAGACGTGGGTGCTGACCAGCACCAGTGCACAGGAAGGAGTGCTGGCAAAGTAGGGGGACACATGTTACACCTACCTACCTTCACATGGGGGGGTCACTCCTACTGGTCAACTGGTGAAATCCACTGTGGTAAATAGAAGGAATATGAAAGACGGAAAGAAATGGGCGGCAAATTCCATGTTAATCGCCATTAAATATACTTTATTTCAACTTGGTCAATGAATATCAAGAACACACTGGTTATATAAGGTAAAAGGTGAAGCCACCAGAAGCATTTTCAGTATTTGATTACATTTTTGAGGACCAATACTCCTTAAAAAGTTACTTTTCTGGAGAAAATGTTGCTCTGAGCTTCCTCCAGTGCTGCCTAGGTGCCTTAAAAACCTAAGCAGTTGGTCACATGATCTCTGTTGAACGGGGGATCAGCAAATAGATTGGCTGAGATTCCCTTTCATCATGCGACAGACAAGGTTAACACTGAAAGGAACCTGGCACAGATATGAGCACCTGAATGTAATTCCATTCATGTAAAACCCTTGTCAGTTTGGGTTATCTTTGTCCTGTTGAACAGATTTCCCATAACTTCCTGTTACGGTGACAACTGTATAATTATGGATTAGCTATCACTTTTACATAGAGATGGTGAATCTCTCCAGTGGGACACAGACAGTGATAAATACCCAACAGCAGCTCCAATCATGTCCTACTCTATCAAAAACGTTGGGTTGAATATATATACCTATATACTGTACACCTGTATACACCCAGCCTAAGCAAAATGTCCTGAAATGAACTGTAAACCTTACCTAAAATGTATATCTATTGAACATGTATCTTTTTTGCCTAAGGCGAATAAATCATCGTGTGCTTTTGCTGGCTTCCTTGAAGGTAAGTTTCTATATGTTATACTGTAAGTATATTGTATAATATGAAGCTCTATGGGTAACTTCATTATAGTATTAAACTTGCAAACTGTTTTCAATAATGAATTCTGAGTAAACAAATATACTGTAGATGGGCTCACTGTTGCCTGAGGAAGGGGATTTTCTGAGAGCTCTGAAACAGTGTTTCTTATGTGGCAATGAAAAGCTGTGCGCTGGTGGCATCCGTGATCTTTTGATCTCTAAACCAGCCATCTTAGTCCAGAAAGTAGATGGCGACCCTGGATAACTCCTGAACAAAGATGGCAGCATCCTCCTGGAGGAAAAAAAAGGCAGATGAAGACATTGTAAGGGGGAGAGGTAATAAATACTTGACAATATTACACTGACACAATGCTTAAAGTAGACCCTCCACCATTAAGGTAAAATCTGCTTTTTACATTTACTTTCCCCCATCCCCAGCATAATGGCTGTAAAAAATGAATACAAAATACCTGTAGGGGAAAATAAATATATTATACTCACTTTTCCCCAGCTTCACCTTCCTCAAACAACAATGACCACATTTGTTTAAATAATTACCCAAGAGTTTAAATGTCTATGACGTCCAGGAGGGGGTGATGTCATCCTCATTCCAGGAAGATTTGGGCAATGGTGATACTACCAACAATAACAGCAAATCTCTTTTCAAGATTTGGAGTACTCAGCATTACCCAAATCATATTGGAAGAAGAATGACATCACCCCTTGAAGGATGATGATATCACCCCTTGAAACAAGATAACATCTCTCCTTGAAGGAGGATGACATCTCTCGTTGATGGAGGATGACATTACCCCTTGAAGGATGATGACATTACCCCTTGAAGGATGATGACATCACCCTTTGAAATAAGATAACATCACCCCTTGAAGGATGATGACATTACCCCTTAAAGGAGGATTACATCTCTTCTTGAAGGAGGATGGCATCCCTCCTTGAAGGATGATGACATTACCCTTTGATGGAAGATAACCTCACCCCTTGAAGGAGGATGACATCTCTCCTTGAAGGAGGATGACATCTCTCCTTGAAGGAGGATGACATTACCCCTTGAAGGATGATGACATTACCCCTTTAAGGATGATGACATCACCCTTTGAAATAAGATAACATCACCCCTTGAAGGATGATGACATTACCCCTTGAAGGATGATGACATCACCCTTTGAAATAAGATAACATCACCCCTTGAAGGATGATGGCATTACCCCTTAAAGGATGATTACATCTCTCCTTGAAGGAGGATGGCATCCCTCCTTGAAGGATGATGACATTACCCTTTGATGGAAGATAACCTCACCCCTTGAAGGAGGATGACATCTCTCCTTGAAGGAGGATGACATCTCTCCTTGAAGGAGGATGACATTACCCCTTGAACGATGATGACATTACCCATTGAAGGATGATGACATCACCCTTCTTTGAAATAAGATAACATCACCCCTTGAAGGATGATGACATTACCCCTTGAAGGATGATGACATCACCCTTTGAAGGTAAGTAACCTCTCCCCTTGAAGGAGGATGACATCACCCCTTGAAGTAGGATGACATCACCCCTTGAAGGAGGATGACATCACCCCTTGAAGGAGGATGACCTTACCCCTTGAAGAAGGATGATATCACCCCTTAAAGTAGAATGGCATGACCCCTTGCACCATGGAAGCCACAGAAAAAATGGGCATGACATATTTTGTATAACTGTATTTACAACAAGAAGGAAGGTAAACAGCGGACCTTGCATGTCCTTTAACATGAATACATATATCTACTGCTAGGTCCACTCTAAATGAATGTTCATCTGGAATTAATGAGATGATGTGATTGATGAGATCATGCTTTATTGTTGAAATGGGATGTATAATCCAGTAATAGTTCTTTCTTGTGGCAGTTCCTGAGCCTGAGAGCAACACAGTTCAGATAATTGCCGGGTCGATATCGGCTGTGATTTTACTGCTGTTCCTTCTAATCTTTGTGGTCGTATGGAGGAGCCGGTCTTCACGGTAGGTAGTCTTTTTCTCAGTTGAAGGGAAATCAGATGCAATAAGTGTCTCCCTATCCATCCCAAAGCTCCCATCTCATCTCTATGGTGACTTTAGATGGCTTTGGTTGACCACCCTCTGGGAAATATGACTGATCGAACATTTTAGAAAACCTTGGTCAGTAGATGTTGTTCCCAGTCAGATGGTGCCAGAGCTGCCATGCAATGGCTTTCTCCTTTTTTTTTTAGGGATTTCCCCTCTTTAAAACTCTGCCCTGCTCCTGTCCTCCAGGGAGTTTTTTAATCCTCCTGTTACGTTTTGCAACAAATAAAATTAATTAAAATCTAGAAGGTATGATGTGAGCCCCAGAAACTGAAGTTCATTCCTCTTATTTCTTTAATAAAAAAGGATCCATGTATTTTCTTCTGGATGGACTGGCTAAGGGTCAGCACCTCCTTATTGTTGTCTGTTACTGAATTGGGGAGATTTCCTCAAGTTTTCTATGTGGTCAAGAGGACAGAGGTACTAAACCTTTCCAAACGTTTGGCCCGAAGCTCTCCTTTTGTGAAATAAAGGAATATCTTTCTATTTGACAGTTGTTTATAGAGCAATTACAACCCTTCAAACAACATTACTTTAAAGGTTCTCATCTACATAAAGTGCATAGAGATATGTAAACTAATGAGCTGACCATTGTTTCTTGGCTGTGTCTTTAGTGCTTTCACTAAAAAGCTTTTATGAATGTACACTCATTAATTTATTATATTATAATGATTCACCTCTTTCTATACAGCAAATCAAGCCGGTCTTCTGACATCCCATTAAAGCCTCAGATTGGACCAGGTAGGTTGAAAATCTTGTGGAAGAGACAGCAGTATAACTACCGATCATTGAGCCCAATTGCAAAATTGCAACAGGGCCCCTCAACGACATCCCTACTGTCATTGATCTTAAAATTAATTATATTGTGTTCTAGTTCTAAGTCTTCCCACTCCATACACCATTACAGCAATTGCTGCAAGAGGTGATATCATAATAAATTAACAAAACTCCCCAAGAGTTGTGGTAGCAATAATAATGACCATCACAATGTTTTATCATGACATCATTGTACATCATAGTACTCCTGCACACAATTACTATATAACCCGTACAAACTGCTTTAAAATGTGGAGAACTTCAAATAGCTGTCATTTTTATCTGAGGAGACTGGCCTAGGCAGACAGGGTTAGTTTCAGTGCTTGCCGGGATGACCAGAAGCTCTGAGGGCAATAAGTCTATACTAGCAAAACAGATAAGCAAATTCTCCTTATTGCACAATCTTTAAAAGGTAACTGACTAGCTACAATGATTTTGAGGTCTCCTCCTGTATGTCTGATGTCAGCTCTACTTGACTGGAAATGTCACAGGGGGGTACAGGGTCAGTGTCAACAGCAACCTCTGCAATCCTTGATAATGCAGTACTGGATTTGCGTTATCTTCACATGTGCACAGATTTTCAATGTTTAATTTGCCTCAAGAGCCCCTCAATGAGGCCCCTTCCAACCCAGAGCCCCATAGCAGCCTTGTGTGCTCCTTTGGCTATTGTTACACAACTCCAGGAAGAGGATTAAAAAGGTCCAACTCGAATGCCTTCAACCATCAGTTAAATTCAGGAGAATTGTTTTCTTTTTACTGTCATAAATTTTTATTAAAGTTTTAGACAAGACAAACCAAAAAGTAGCATCAGACATCTCATGCGATAGAGTACCTACATATTCAAAACGTGTCAGGTGGCTGCTTAGCATTGACCTTCATGGCAGAGCGGACATTTCAGATGCTTACACATAAACAAAAATTAAATTGACCTTTCTATAATGAGCTCATAGTAGCAAAATCAGAAGACCAATAGGGGTAAAAGTATATGTAGTAAAGAGAATAGGAAAATATCAAGAATTGTTTTCTTTTTAATTAATTTGTTATCTTAATACCCTGATAACATAATTAAAAGCAACCCTAAAAAAAACAAGATGCTTAATTATTATCTTTTTTATCAGGGAGTGAACAAATCTTCACTCTCTTAATGAGCTCCAGAAGCCGCCGATACTTCCAAGCATGTCAGATACATGGCCCAACATCACCCCACCCCATCTTTTCCGTGCTGCACTCTGTGATTCTTTGTGCCAGGAAGGGTTAGAAACATCTCTCAGGGTTTTATTATGGTCTGCTTCTTCCATTCCTATTGACAGCCTCACTCTCCTATTTGTTGTCCTGGTATCAGGACAGGAAGTGAGAAGGTCTTCTCAATTAGGACACAACAATAAAAATTTAAAGGACAATGAAGTTCTGAAGGAAGTGTTTTATGTATTATAGTTCCTTCCTCACGTTTTGATAATGCAATTATGTCACCATGCATAAAACATCCGAATACATCTTATTTTCTCTTTCTATATTGGAATCCCAGAATTCTGATTCTACAGCACTTAAAGGAGAATTATGGGGTTAAGTCTTTTCCCCATAGTTCTCCTTAGGGTAACAGGAGGACACAAACTAGCGTTCTCCCGTCACCCTAGGCTCAATATACTGCTGGTGTAGTAGCTGAAGCTGATCCCGACAATTGTGCTGGGATCCGCCCGGCTGCGTCACTGACAGCTGGCTCTGCCTATCTAGAGGCAGAGCCAGCTGTACCCGCCCCCTCCCCCGTCCATAACGCCAGTCAGCGCTGGCGGATCGGAGCGGGGATGGGGGAAGCGCGCCCCTCCCCTGTCACGGCAGAGAGCCGTGACAGGATCGAGAGGTGAGCGAACGCCGGTATGTGTTCGCTCACCTCCCGATCTACTGAGCCGACCTGTGACAGTCTCATTGTCACAGGTCGGCTTCTCCTTTAATGCATCTTGTTATTTGTATCTTAGAAGTACCTGAGAATAATAAGTGATAATTTACTTTTTTAGGAAAGAAGAAAGATATTCCTGTTGATAATCTCTTGGACGTTGTGAAGAGATTCCGGAAGATGGAGACAGCGGACACCAATGATGAGGATGAGAATTCAGCAATTTTATTTGTGGGGCTTTACCAGGAGTATCAGGTAGGAGATGCACATCATAATGGTTGCATGTGATGCAGCAAATTAGCGCATTGCTTATGATGGTCTGCAGACTTTTTGGTCACGGTGGGGTAAGCTGAGAGAAAAAAATTGTGCTTGCTTCCACTGGAAGATTGCTTTCTCTGTATGGCACACAAGGATTTTTCAGACTAGTGTATCCCCACCCTTTACTTCCTGTGATACATCAGCTTATCCACAGACATTCTGGTATCAGTTTTATTGCATTTTTCCACTTTGTTGAATGTATAATGTTGTGTTATATGGGCATAGACAGGCAGAAGTAAAAAAAAAAGACACCTGGTGAGACATCTGCCTGGCTTTGGACTTAGTGCTACCTGCTGTATTGTGGGGGGAATTTATCAAAGCAATTGCGACAGTTTTAGCCTCTTAGATTATTATTTTATGTGCAAATCTGTGTTTTAACATGTGCCCCTGTTTTCACCTGAGCTTGCACTACTTTTTCAACTGCACGTTTTCTGCAACTGTTATGCACGTGTTTTGATCTGCGCTTGTCCTGCGGCTGTCTGAAACTCTAGCATCACCTAAGAAAACAATCACAACTTCAGAAGTCCCAGTGACCACATATTCAAGAAGCGACAGTTCAAACACTTAGGCCTGGTTCACACCTGATGGTTTAACAGCACGTTCCTACGCTTTGTAAAATGCTCAACATGTGAAAACCAATGATTGCCTATGGCCATGGTTCCCACCTGGGCGTTTTACAGCGCGCAGGAACACGCTGCAAAACGACCTACGCCCAAAGAAGTACAGGAGCTTCTTTGGGGCGTATTTGCCGCGCGTATCCATTGGGATACAGCCAGGTAGCCCTCGGAAACGCGCGTTTGTTGCACGTTTTTTTTAACCGCGAATCGCAGTAAAATGCGCGACAAACGCGCATATTCGATACGCCTAGGTGTGAACCCAGCCTTACAATTGCTATGATAAATCCCCCCCCCCGTGTATTTTAACACAGCTGAAATACATATGACCTGTATCAATGGGCTTTTGTTCATGTTAGAACTGCTTTTCTCCCTATACAAGTCCATGGGAATGTAAAAGTTGCTTGAAGCAGGGTAGTAGAGCTTAGGAGGTCAAATGAAGGTTTGAAGAAGGTCAACTTCATGTCCAATGCACCTGTGAAAAATCTCAGATGGGGCACACTGCATTTGCCCATCTAGACAAGCCCTAAAGTGGAACATGTGCAGTGAGGAACTACCTCTCCTTTTTTCAGTGGGAAAGGGGGCAGATTTCACCCTGACACAGACTTTTCAATAAGTTGGATCAACATTTTAGGCTGCTTGCTATTACCTTCCATGGTAGGCCTAAGGTCACATTGGACCATCAAACTGGAGACATATTGGATAGCATTTGGCTTCTCTTAGTGGCTCATGTATAAGGGAGAGCAGAGTTATACACCATTGGGTTACTCCATGCAGACCATTCATAAATTGTGGGTATAAAACCTGCAGTTTGCTCTGCTTATTGCTGCTAAGAGAACTCCATCACTGGAGGAGAACTCAGTCACTTTGTCATGTGACTGGGCTCTCTAAAGAAGCCAGCCAGCACCTGTAAAAATCTGAATATCTGCTATAAGACCCCATTCACACTGAGCTACAACAAAATAAGCGCTTTTTCAGCGCTGATTTGAGCTGATCGACTTTGAGTTACATTGAGCTACAGTGCACATTTTGTCACGCTACCTAGTGCTTCTTTTGGCAGTCTGTCAAAGTCTATTTAGGCCAAATTGCTCGAAAGCCTCCGAAATATAGCTCATGTTTGAGTGACAAGCTTCAGCTACAAGCTACAGGTGACATTGAGCTGCAGGATGTGAATACCTCCATTGAAATGCATTGGATGAGCTACATTGAGCTACACTGAGCTTCATATTTGAGCGTTTTTTGAGCGGAAGTCGGACTATAAAACGCTCATTGCGAATGGGGTCTTAAGTTGTTAATACAATTCAGCTTTACCTATCGGGGATGGTTGTGTGCTGTTATGCACTTGTGTTGTCTTCAAGCCAGTCCTGAAAGGTAAGCCCAATGTCAGGATGTAAGGCCACCATTGAAGTTGTACTGTATCGTGCCTCAGTTTGGAGCTAATAACAGACAGTCTGGAGGGGGTGGCACTGCCAATTCAGAGAGCATATAGATTTCATTTGCATAAATCTGGCAAAGCTTTTGTTATGTGACAGTTTTCTGTTATCAGCCCTGAGCTCAGACAGAACATAGGGTGGTCTCACAGCCTGACACTTCCCATCTGACAAAGAGAGAATACAAGTACAAAGGTAAGGCTGCAATATTATAACAGTTCAGGATGGAGATTCAGATTAATGAAAGGTCCTCTTTAAGAAACCTAGTTAGACACTAAATTTAGATGTGCTCTAATGGTCACAGGCGCAAGCTTGGAGTGGTGGCTACTTGGAGTGGTAGACATCCTCCAGAAGGAAGGACAGTGTCAGCACCAATTCAGAGATGATTGGAGGATCCACAGCCGAGTGATACACAAATAAGATACATTGTTGATAATAGGTAAGGAACTTGAATGCATGTTTAAGATTTAGCTCCAGAGGTTAGTGTCACTTTAAGCAACAGAATAGCTTTAAAAATGTACAGATTTCTAGAGTTATGTTTTGTGACCTTGCATTAACTTTTCCTGATAAGTCATAGACTAAAAGGATTATTCACAAAAGGGTGAAGAGTTTGAAGAAGGCAGGAGAAGGGAACAATCTAGGACAACATCACTGAACTGGAAAGTGAGCTGAATTGGAGACTTTTTCCAAATCAGCGATGTTGTCCTAGATTGTTCACTTCTCCTGCCTTCTCCAAACTCTTCACCCTTTAGTGAATAGACCTGTAAATGTTAAAATAAAGCTATATTCATTTTTTAACATATATATTGGTATTATAATTCAGGGTATTATAGCAATATAAGGATGCAAATCTTGGTGCAAGGTAAAATAAACATCTTCGGCACAGTAGGAGGTTCACAAGGTAATAGAGATAATGTGGGAACAGCAGTTAAACATTATAGTAAGGATGTCAACACTGATAATGGAGACAAAATATATAAAAGTATACCTGAATACCATTAAAACTCCATGTTTGGGCAATTCAAGTGGTGACCAACAGGCCAGGAACGTTTCAGCCTTGTTCATAGAATGTAAAAATTGATAAAGTCTTAGAGAGTGTCCAAATGTGAAGCAAGAGGTGTAATGCACATGAGTAAAGAAGAGGAAAAGAAATAGGAAAGAGCGGATATAGACCAGGGCTGTCAAACTCAATTTAATTGTGGGCCGCATCAACATTATGGTTGCCCTCAAAGGGCCTGTAAGACTATATAAATGTATCTAATCTTTATCATAATTGCCTCTGCATTCGATTATCACTGGTTTTAGTAATAACTTAATACCCAGATCTGAAAGTAGAAGTCTAGGGAATGGCCTGGTGGGCCGGATTCGGCCCCTGGGCCTTGAGTTTGACACATGTGATCTAGAGGGAGAGAACAGCTGTATTCATTTTTTTTTAGAGTAGAGCCACTTTAATCATAGTCTGTGAAGATTCTCATTTGCCCAGGTCATGGTTTAGCTAGTGGTAGTTAGTCACATTCAACTGGACTTGGAGCTATCCGCTTGGCTCTATGATGGACTATAATCTTATGTTTAGTTAGATAATTTGTATTAAGATTTTAGTCCATCCCGTGAGTGAGCTTGGAGCGGTGACTACTTTACAACACACACAGGGACCATGGGGAACAGACGTAGCCCCCCTCCACAAGGAAGGACGGTGTCAGAACCAATTCAGAGATGATTTGAGGATCTACAGCCGAGTGATACACAAATAAGATACATTGTTGTTCATAGTTATGGTACATAAATGCATTTTTAAGATTTAACTCCTGAGTTTAGTGTCACTTTAAATGTAACTAACTACAACCTGTACCACTTTTTATCTCTATGTAGGAACTTCCAGGCGGCTGGATGTACCCCTGCACTGTGGCCCTATCCCAGGAAAACCAAGCTAAGAATCGCTACAAGAAGGTTCTGCCATGTAAGTACTGAAGTAAATAATGTTCTTTTATACTCATATAATACACATCTTTGCTAATAAAAAGCAACTCCATGTGCTGATTGTTTTATATGCTAACCACGGAAAAAACCCTACATTGCTTACACAACTGTAAACCAATAACCACAGTACCCATTGTGCAAGAATGCCTAGAATATCTGATCCTCCATATTTTATTCAAGAAAAAATTGTATGTAGTTGAAGTGGAGGACCAGCTAAGTATATTTGTGGTGATGGGTTAAAACGTCTGCCACATTTTTTTTTTCTTTTAATTTTTTTCCCTTTACTTCCTGTCTTAAAAAGAGAAAAGAAAATTAAGGGAAAGCCTATCCAAAATTAGGGCATATCCCAGATTTGACAATTATCACCAGTAGAAGTATCCCCATTGGAAGATTTACCGCTAACACTTTTCTGTTGGAAGCAGCAATAACTTTTTCAGCAATTTGAGCTACAATCTCTCTTCTATTGGATTGGGCTACATGGGCCAGCCTTCTCTCCCTGTGCGCATCATTGAGCCTTGGCCACCAATAACCCTGTCACCAGTTCACCGGGTTTCCTTTCTTGGACCACTTTTGGTAGGTCCTGACAACTGCAGGCCGGGAACATCCCATAAGAGTTGTAGTTTTGGAGTTGCTCTGACCCAGCCACCTGGCTATCACAATTTGACCGTTGTCAAAGTCGCTCAAATCCTTAAGCTTGCTTTCAACTTATCAACTTCGGGGATAAAATGTTCACTTGCTGCATAATGTATTCCACCCACTTCCAGGTGCCATTGTAACAATATAATCAATGCTATTTACTTCACTTCTCAGTGGTCATAATGTTATTGGTGATCGGTGTGGGTAGAGAAGGTCTAGAGAAGATTGTTGATGTATGAAACATAAAAGTGTAAGAATCAAAGATATCCTCTCCAAGAACTAACAATGCTGTTGAGCGTCCACATTGCTGTCTAACGCTTTGGTTAGGTTCTAATTTTCATTTTTCTTTCTTTTTGATATCTACATACATTTAGCCACATGCACCTGGTTAATCAAACTTTCCCTTTGTTCTGCAGATGATGATTCTCGTGTGGTGTTGAGGTCCAATCACTCCAGATCAGATTATATAAATGCCTCCTATATTGATGTAAGTAGAAAGCTTTGCCTGAGATGCTGGGTAATATCCCTGAAACTAATTAGAACTGAAAAAAGTGGTTGGGATAAGCTGTGCAGCCTCTTCAACATCACAGAACAAGTCGTGCTGAATGTGACTACTGCTAACTTGACCATACACCTATAAAAATATGAATATATTGTGCTGTCTTCTAGGGTTACAAGGCACCAAAATTCTACATAGCAACCCAAGGTGAGTAAAGTGAGCTGTTAAAAGCATCATCAAACATATATACTGTAGCTCATATTCCATACAGCAATTGATTACTTACAGTCATTGGAACACTTCCCTTCAAGATTCCTGCGTGTTCTACTTCCACTGATTTCATAATTAATTTTCTCCTGTTTCAGGCCCCATCCCAGAGACCTTGTCTGACTTCTGGAGCATGGTGTGGCAAGAGAACTGTTCTGTTATTGTGATGCTGACTGGGCTGGAGGAACAAAACAAAGTGAGATGGAGGACAGTGAAGGGGAGATAATGGACAGTAAAGGGGCAATGTAAGACAGTCAAGGGGAAGAGGGGAACAGTGAAGGTGAGATGGAGGACAGGGAAGGGGGATTCAGGACAGTGAAGTGGAAATGTTAGACAGTAAAGGTGAGATGATGGACAGTGAAAGTGAGTGGACAAGCAAGTTGGATAGAGGACAAGGAAGATGAGATGGAAGACATTGAAGGTGAGATAGAGGACAATAAAGAGGAGATGGAGAAAGGTGTAGTGGAAATGGTGGTCAATAAAGAGGAAATGATGGACAATGAAGGGTAAGATGGAGGACAGTGAAGGCGGACACACCGAAGTGGAGATGATGAACTATGAAGAGGAGATGTGGACAGAGAGGTGAGAAAACAGATTGTAAAGGCAAGGCGGTGGACAGTAAAGGTGAGATGGAAGACAGTAAATAGGGTGGACAATAAAGGACAGGTGAAGGAGAGTAAAAGTGATAAGGAGGACAAGGAAGGTGCGATGGAGAACACTGAATGGAAGACATTGAGGGGGGGGATAGAGAACACTGAAATGGGGGTCAGTGAAAGGGAAATGGTAGACATGAAGGTGAGATGGACGATCGTATAGGGAAGATAGTGGACTGTAAAGAGGAGATGGAGGGCAGTGAAAGGCAGATATTGGACAGTACATTTGAGGCAAAGGATAGTAAAGGTGAGATGGAAGACAGGGAAGAAGATATGATGGACAGTGTCCGGGAGATGATGATCAGTGAAGGGGAGATGTTGTAAGTGAAGGTGTGAGGGCAGACAGTAAAAGCCACATGGTGAGCAGTGAATGGCAGATGGTGGACAGTAAAGGGAGATGGAGGACAGTGAAGAGGAAATGGTGGACTGTGGAGCTCAGATAATGGACAGTGAAGGTGAAATTTCACCTACAAATGACCCAGCTTCTCTTTTTTGTACACATTGAATCTTTTCAGGTAAAGTGTGAGCAATATTGGCCAGAACAGAGTCAGACCTATGGTGACATCACAGTTTCTGTCCAGAAAATTGTTCAGACGGGTGCATTTACCATTCGGAGCTTCAGTCTCAAGAAGGTAAAATATCCGTATGAGAATTTAGACTTCTGTATTTTTCACCTTTTGTTTTATCTAATGTGCACAAATAATATCAGTGGTCTCCCAGTAACATGTGAATATTGCTTAAGGAGGTTTGTGGTAGTTATCAACTTTTTACCTGCTTCATAATGTACTTCCAATAAAGCAAAAAACGACTACATATGTTCATTGCACTGCGGGCTGACTATTCCTTGAGCGGTAAGGTGTCTACTGGCAGGATCAACCGGTAATAAACTCTGTTAGAGGGGAGAGGTCCAGCTCAGTTCTTGAAGATATTCCCAATCTAGCCATGGTTTAAGGTTTTCAATAACCAAAAGATGAACTAGGTGAGGTTTGGTTTAGTAAAAAATTTACAGCCTCAAACCTGTATTCAAATTCTGAAGCCCATTTTCACTTATCCGGGCATGTATTTCAAAACTCCTTCCCTGAAAAAGTAAACTATCTTTGATGTTTGGAATAAATACATGTAGGGCTCTGCACACATGGTCACTCTGATGCATGTTTTCTGGTTTCAGGTGCAGTCCACAGTGCAGATGATGGTGGAGCAGATCCATTACCTTCGATGGCCGGACCATGGAGTGCCAAAGAAAGCATCAGACATGGTGCAGCTTGTAGAAATCATGAATAAGTGTAACCCACCAGGGTCGGGACCTATAATTGTACACTGCAGGTAAAGGAAGCCTCTAATCTCATTGTTCTGTCTTGAAGTGGATCATTCAAAAACTCAAGTCTGCATGAATAAATTCCTAACGGGTCACGATATACAGAAACAGTATCATTTTTCAGAAAATTTCCACCTTTTAGCATTACAAAGCTGTCCTTAAACTCTATTCAGTGACTTTGCCTAGACTTAAGGTCCCCACACACCTTACGATAATCGTACGATAATCGCGGGAAATCCCGCGATCGTACGATTATCGTAAGGTGTGTGGAAGCCGTGCGACTTCTACTACTGTAAGGTCGCGCGACTTTGAACTTACGGACATGTTCGAAAACCCGCCGAGCATCGTACGACGTTTGGCGGGTCCGTACGATAACAGCCATACGGGCCGGTGTGCGCAAGCGCACACTGCCCGTGCCCAGCCTAAGATGCTACAGGCAAGAGAAAGCATTTCCTCAGTCTCCTCTCTCCCAGTGATCAGTCTGCAACATTGTAACATAAACAATGTGACCCCTCTTATACATCTCACACTAAGATAATATAAAAAGTGTCAATTAAACATGTACAAAACTTGCAGAAAAATAAACAACAACAAAATATCCAATTAATTCAAATTTGTTACGTTTTCTGCATGTTTACAACCAAAACTTGTTGTAAATGACAAACTTTCCCCTCATAAAATGACTATCATGCAGGTAGGGAAAAAACAAGTAAAAAACATACAAAAATGTATACAGTTGGATACCACACCCAGCACCAGACAGTGTAAAATATGCAATGCATTCTCTCCATTTAAAGCATGTGTCCCCAATCACATAACACAAAACCCTTATGGCACTCAATGCATTTTTTCTAGTGTGGACCTTCCCAAGAGCTGGGTCTTGCATTTGTAAGAATCTGAACCTCTATACTTAAGCTGCTATAATAATGCAGCTTTAAGTCTCAGTGATGGCTGGGTGTGCTGTTTTCCACTTTTATTCTTACCCCATCAAACCAGATATCAGTCCAGGGTCAGGCTGTAAGGCCCCCATGGAAATTGCCCTGACTACTACCCCTAGAATGGTGGACAGGGAATGTGAGGGCACAGAGTGGCACGTATGTCCACTCTGCAGATGCGTTCTTCCAGCAGAAGGCTCTGGAGGTGGCTTGGTTGCAAGGTGCTCTTGAAGTCAGATGACGAGGATGGGTGAAGAGTGGGGCTGCAGAAGTAGTCACTGCAGGAGACAAGATGTAGATTGATCAGCAGCTGCTAGGAACACAGGAGCAATGCAGAAGGCTGGAGTGTAGTCACATCAGGAAGAGTAGAAGCAGGTCTAAAGGAAAGCCAGGTCAGCAACATATGGGCTAACAACAGTATCGGGTTTAGGTCACAGGGTAATAGTTGAAGACCATCCATTTAGTTCAGCTTTAATCCCTAAATAGGCCTTCTGGCACCAATGCAGGAATTGGGAATGCACGTCTGTGCGCATGATCAGCTTGCCTGTGTGAATGAACATGTTTATGTAAATGTGCGTGCACACACAAATAGCTGGCAATCACAATAGTCCCCTGCTTGCAGATTGGAGCACAACTTTGTCTTGTGATGACATCCTAACACAACCTCTCCTTGACTTGTCCCACCAGGTGGTCCGATTTGCACAGTACTTTATTTGGTGCTATTGAACTCAATTAAATCCCCTCAACAAAACCAATTAAAACTTATCAGCAAGGTCCTGAACATCTTTTACAGTCAATAATCTGTACATTTATTATGCATTTGCGTATTATCACCAGACCACTATAAATTTATAACAAACTTTGTAATACAGAGAATCTTATAACACGTACAGTCTATAAAATATTAGTTAAGATTATTTACTTCTAATTAGGTAAGATAGGTTATTGTAAGGCCGGTATCACACAATATCACCCAGAAGAACCTTTAAAGGAGAACTATGGGGTCAGTGTTTTTCCCCATAGTTCTCCTTGGGGTAACGGGAGGACACAAACTAGCGTCCTCCCGTTACCCTAAGCTCAGTATACCGCGAGCTACAGCTCGTGGTATACTGAGACGCCGCACCTGGAGTGGATCCCGACTTAGATGACGGGATCCGCCCAGCTGCGTGAGTGACAGCTGGCTCTGCCTATCTAGAGGCAGAGCCAGCTGTACCCGCCCCCTCCCCCGTCTGTTCCGCCAGTCAGCGCTGGCAGATCGGAGCGGGGAGAGGGGAATACAGCCCCTCCCCCTGTCACGGCAGAGAGCCGGCAGATCGAGAGGTGAGGGAACCCGGTATGTGTTCGCTCACCTCCCGATCTACTGAGCCGACCTGTGACAGTCTCATTGTCACAGGTTGGCTTAGAACTATGAGGTGAGTGGAAATACCTCATGTCATAGTTCTCCTTTAATTTAAGGATTTGCTCCCTCACTGATTGCTGTCAAATATGAGCAACATTTTGCTGGCCTACACGCAGAGAGCAACGCCATGAAACCAGGTAATCAGTCTGTTGTGTGACACGGCTCTAACTCATATAACATGAACAGATATTGTATGTGCAAAGAAACATACTGGGTATTGTGTCTACAGAAGAATTTATATAACTCCAATCAATATGCTTAAAGTGACCCTGTCAAGAGAAAAAAAAAAGTCTACCTGCAAAAGCATAAGTAAAATGCTTACCTCTCCTGATGCCTACGCTGCCGAAAATCATCCTCTGAGGTCTGGACCCCTGCTGCTCTCCCTGGTTACTTTTTCCGACATCCAGGTGAACACGGCGTCCTTTAGTAATGTGGAGGTTGTCCACTAAGGACAACGGGGGACCCAAGAGGATGATGTAGATCAACATTCCTGAAACTTGTGGTTTCTCAGCTGACTTCAAAACAAGATTTCTCTCCAGCAGAGTGCTGTTGGGCTACACAGGCAGCAGAGGTGGTGAGGATTTACTGTCTTCTTTTGCAGTTAGAAAATGTTGGCCATTTTTTTCCTCTCAAGATCACTTTAAATAGGTTTATATTGCTGTCTTTGCTTTCCTGCCCCAGTGACCACCAAATAAATAATAAAGACTCTTAATTTCTTAATTTAAGGTTCAAACTTTTGTGACCCGTTCTGCAGAATTTGTGACCCGGTCTGCCTGCACAGCATTGCTGTTGATTGCTGGGACTGGCGGATATAGTCATCAATTACTTTTAGGGCTACCTGGAGACCCCACAAATGGACCCAGCATCTTTTGAGTGATCATGTTTCTAAGTGTATTCAGTCTTATCCCTTGTTATTTGGAAAACAAATGACTACAGTACATTACAAGGAGGACTGGGGAAAGGACAGGGAGACCCGGAGAGAGTCAATGTTTGCATATGTCCAGCAATGGTGAGAACCCAGGGAAGGCATTGTGTGGTGACCTGCAGACTGCACAGAGAGGAGGACAACATGTACCATAAGCACATTGTAATATTATTAACAATTCTTGAATTGATGACAAGATTATCACTGATCCGCTTTATCAATACATGTCATTCACACACCTTGTTTGCAGTGCTGGGATTGGCAGGACAGGCACATTCTTGGCACTGGACATTCTCCTGAAGAGGGCACATGCGGTGAAGAAGGTGAATGTGTATAATTGTGTCTTAGAGTTACGGAAGAAGCGGGTGAAGATGGTGCAGGAAAAGGTGGGTTCTGGTCTCACTGTTCTTCTCTATCCCCTCATACTCAATGTCGCCAACTGTTGGTATATCTCTAAAGTATATTCCTCACAATATTCCTTACCCTTTGTCAACAATTCTTTTGGCCAACAATAGTTTACCCAATAGAAAAGGGTATTCTCTGCCAATACTATCATCCCAGAAAGATTAAAGAAGTATTTACCACTCATTAACAAATTGTATATATGTAGCACCGTACCTCATGGACATGTTGGTGGTCTTTTTGTCTTTGCAGCACAATTTTGCAACATAATTTATGACCCTGATATCTCCCTGGAGTCCCACCATAGCCACCCTGCCATGCATGCTGCCAGCCAGGACTACAAAGGTTTGGGAGGAGGGACCAGATGAAGCTCTATTAGAGCAGGCAAATGTGCGCATTATGGGATCACGTGCAATATGGGCTGGGTGTGAGCAATCATGGGGCATGTAGTTCTGATGCAGGAGGTCACATAATGCTATTAGAGAGGGCACACAAGTACATTATAGGCTGCACATGAGGAATCATGGGGCATGTAGTACTGATGAAGGAGGTCACCTGGTGCTTTTAGAGTGTGCATGCATACATATTATGGGTTGGGTGTGAGGAATTATGGAGCATGTAGTTCTGATACAGGGGGTCACCTGATGCTATTAGAGTGTGCGTGCATACACATTATGGGTTGGGTGTGAGAAATCATGGGGCATGTAGTTCTGATGCAGGAGGTCCCATGATGCTATTAGAGAGGGCACACATGCACATTATAGCTTGGACATGAGGAATCATGGGGTATGTAGTCAGGGCCGGATTTAATCTCCCTGGCGCCCCAAGGTCAGGTTCCGCAATACGCCCGGAGGACGGAACCAGAGGAGGGAGGTAAGTGCAGGGGGGAGGGGAGGAGGCTGCAGACTTTTTACATGTGATCTCGGTGACATCGCTGAGATCACATGTAAACGAACAATCGGCTTCCCTCACTCTACATTTAGTCCTGCTTGTGCAAAGCAGGTCTAAATATAAAGAGGGCAACTTACCGCCCGGAGCCCGCAACTTCCTCACAAGGACACCGCTGCCGCCCCTCTACGCCCTGCCGCCCCAAGGCCGGGCCTCGGTGGCCTTGTGGGGAATCCGGGCCTGCATGTAGTCCTGATAATGGAGGTCACTTGACGCTATTAGAGCAGGGATTATGGTCTGGGCATGAGGAATCATGGGGCATGCAGTCCTGACACGGAGCCACCTGATGCGATTAGAGCGGGCATGCATACACATTATTAGCTGGGTGCAAGGAATCATGGGGCATGTAGTCCTGATGCAGGAGGCCTCTTAATGATATTAGATTGAGCATACATGCTCATTATGGGCTGGGCATGAGGACATATAGCAGTTTTGGAAAGTGCCACAAGAATAGAACTGACTGTACAAATCTTGAGTAGGCAAATATAAGTCTTTGGGGCAAAATACTGATAAAGTGTTTGATGATTATTTATAGTAGTAACATGGAGCTATAGGGAAAACTGCATTATACTGTGGGGATTTAATGATACTTTAAGGCATCACAGTCCGTGTTTTATAAAAGCACATAAAATCATATCTGTGCTTCCTGAAATAAGCAGCAACATGATTCCAGCGGACTCACTTTATTTTTGGCATTCAGTAGATCAGTAAATATCTTATTAGCCGTACTCTATGACATCAGACATGAGATACTGACCTCCATTTCATGTGACCCTCCATCTTTCAGGAGCAGTACATCTTCCTCTATGACGTCTTGCTGGAAACTCTTCTGTGTGGGTCCACTAGTGTCCCCGTAGTGGAGATTCAGAAGCATGCATGTTGTATGTATGTAGAAAACCCAACAACGCACAGGAATGGGTTTGACAAGGAATTCCAGGTAAAGATGTATTTGGCTTTATTTCTTTTTCTGTTTTCTTCACATTTACTTTGCTGAAGCCTGAAGAATGTAAGCAATTTAAGTCCAGGAGAGGAGTCGGTACAACTGTGCAAGACTAAAAGTAAGGCCGGAGGTCAGATTTAAAGCCCAACTCCAGCAAAAACGTATTTAAATTTGGATAGAGTGAGAAAAGTTCAGAACATTTTCAGGTGCTCATTGCTGCCTTATCACAGTATAGGCCATTTCCTCTCACCTCCTGTTTATTTAATGAATGTCAGACAGACTGGAAAGTGAGGAAAAGTCTCCCCACTTGGTTAAATACCTTCTACCTGGAGCTGTACCATACAGTACTTCTCCGCCACTAGATGCTGACAGTAGTTTGTATTGAATACCAGCTAACGTCATTCAACCAACTTCTTGTAACCCACAGTGTCATGGATCCACCCCCTGGGGTGGCAATACTTTACAGCCTGGGGTCGGAGTGCTACTGCATTAGGTGGCACAGGATGTACCTGTGATGTCATCAGACTGCAGCAATAAAAATGGGGAGACCTCAGGGAGTGGGTTGGCGGAGGGGAAGGGGGGACTGGAGCTGGAGTTTTGCTTTAAGGATGCTGTATTCTGAATTAAACATTTAATTGTATTAATTATATAAATGCTGACTACATTTTCTATTTCTATAAATTATCTGTTTTTTTTAACGGTCTTATTCAAGTGATACGATTAGAAATCTAAAGTGTTATCACATAAAGTAGGGATGCACAGATACTTTTCGAGTACCAGTGCAGATACTTGGCATTTTCATGGGAACTACCAGGGTTGCAGCTGTTGCAGCTGGGACCGGGCTCTGGCGCTCCACCACTGTCCTGAAATCATTAGTCTGCATTGTTTTAGAAAAACTCATTACATGACAATAAACAAAAATGTATCATTACTCGTACTTGTAAGTACTCGGCAAGCACCAGTACTCGTACTCGCAAAACTGGTATCTGTGCATTCTTTTATTTATATTTATAAAAGCAAAACCATACATTAAAACAGAGATGTACAAATCCCAGAAGCTCTGTGTGCTCCTTACAAATGACAGCGGACTCCTAACTTTTGAATTTTTCTCTAGTCTGATCTTGGAGCTCGAAAAGTATCTGTACTTGTACCGAGTATGGTACTTGGTATCGGTGCATCCCTAATATAAAGTATTAACTATAAATCTGCCATATGCCCTGTTGTTGTTGGTACTTCTGGCCAGGGCCACCACACCCCAATCCCTCAGAAATATTTTATTTGATGGCATCACCCGAAAAAAAGAAATACCTTGTAAACAGATTTAAAAAAAGCTTATTGTGGGTCTTTGGGTTGGTCCCTCTCCCTCCTGAGGAAGCAAATCTTGTGAAATGCATTGTCACCGTGCCAATCACCAATATAAGGGGTGAATGCATTGTGGGGAGAGTATAAATCTGTCTATTTAGAGTCTGAACTGGAGAGTCTCTTCTTTTTCAGGCCCTGGAGAAAATCACACAATTATATCAGATCTATCCATGTAAAGAGGGGAAGAAGCTAGAAAACCAGACCAAGAATCACACCACCGATATCCTGCCAGGTAATGCCTGACCTAATGCTAAACCTATCGGTACATTTGTCTGCAGGGATACATTTTTTACATGCGGCAATATAGATTTTTTAAAATTTAGAAATGGTACTTTTATGATTAAGAAGCCATCCTTGAAATCCATTTCGGTGCCATTTATCGGTAACATCATTAAGCCAAGGCACAAGGGGTGCATGCCTTGGTTGTGCATGTGGCGCTCCAGATCTGAAGCCTATGGCCAACTAATTAGAAAAGTTAATGGATGGCAGATGGCACGTCCTGGGGCCACCACTCAGACTTCAGCATCTACAGTCTGCCACATGTGACTTGTCACATCAGTCAGAACTACAAGTAAAGCCGAGGCTGGACTGGTTGTAGAGCAGCTGAAGAGGTCTAAGTCTGGTATTGGGTGCACACACAGTAATATCCTCTCGTGTTTTATCTTTATTCCCCCAGGTGATCACTGGCGTCCCATTCTCTTCTCCTCACTCACTAGATATGGAGCACCGGGCTACATCAACGGCGTATTTGTTAATGTAAGGCTAACCTTCAATCCATGTTGAATTTTGTTACAGAAGAACCGTTGGGCTTATTCAATAAAATAGCAATGGAACCATGTAAAGTGCACTTAACCAGAACACAGAACATACAGTGTGTATATGTATATATATATATAT